CTCCAGGGTCACCCATTTTGTATAGTATTTTATGAGTTCCTTGTTTTTCAGTGCTGCATAGTATTCCATTGTATGCTTATACCACAGCTTCTCTATCCATTCATTTGTTGATAGACAATTGGATTACTTCCATCTCTTTGGTATTGTGAACAAGCAGTAATAAACATAGGTGTGCATATATCTGTTGCGTGGCAGTTATGATTTCTTTAGAGTATATTCGCAGTAATGGAATTGCTGGATAAAATGGTATTTCTATTTCCGACTTTTTGAGAAAGTGCCATACTGCCTTCCATAGTTGTTGCACCATTTTATACTCCCACCAACAGTGAATAAGGATTCCAATTTCTCCACAACTTCACCAGCATTTGTTGTTTGCTGCTCTGTTGAACTTTGCTATTCTTATTGGGGTAGGATGATATCTGTTAGCTGTTTTGATTTGCATCTCTCTTAGAGCTAGGGATTTTGATCATTTCATGTGTTTGTTCACCATCTGAATGTCTTCTTTGGTGAAGTGTCTGTTCATATCTTGTGCCCATTTTGCAATTGGGTTGTTTATTTTATTGAAGTGCTGGAGTATTCTATAAATTCTAGATACAATCTCTTATGAGACATGTCATTATCAAATATGTTTTCCCAGTTTGTGGCTTTCCTTTTTACCCTGTTGGAGAAGCTTTTTGATGTGCATAGAGATTTGATTCTTAGAAGTTCCCATTCGTCTATTTTATTTTGTCTTGGTTGTAGGTTTCTCAGGATGCTTGGAAGACTGTTCATGTTGCGGATTAAACCTTCTACAATTCTTCCAAGCTTTTCTCTGATGAAGTTTTATAGTCCTTGGTTTTCATCCTAGTCCTTGATCCACTTTGTATTGGTTTTTGTGTATCGTGTGAAGTGTGGGTCTTGCCTGAGTTTTCTACAGATAGTTTTCCAATTTTGCCAACACCATTTGTTAAAGAAATTTTCGTTTCCCCCTCTTAAATTATTTCATCTCCTTGTCAAAAATCAGTTTACGATAGGTTGATGCACTGATTTCTGGATTCTCAATTCTATTCCATTTATCTGTGTGTCTGTCACTGTACCAGTACAAAGCTGCCTTGACCACCATGCCTTTGTAGTAGGATATGAGATCCGGGAGTGAGTGAGATGCCTCCTACCTTGTTTCTCCTTTCAGGAGTCCTTTGCTTATATGAGGTCTCTTTCCATTCCAGGTGAAATTAGAAATTTCCTTTTCTACCTCATTGAAGAATGGAATCAATATTTGTATTGGGATTGCATTAAACTTGTAGGATGCCTTTGATAGAATTGTCATTTTCACAATGTTGAGTCTTCCTAACCAAGAGCAATGGTATATTCTTCCATTTCTCCAAGTTTCTTGTAGTAATGTACTTTGGGCATGTTGTAAGGAGATGCTGGCTATTCTTTGGAAAGGGACATCATTTTTTTGAAAGGGTCAGCTAAAGATTGGAAGACCTTCAACGAGATGGATTGGCATGGTAACTGCAGCAATAGGCTCAAGTGTGTCAGACTTGATGAGGATGGCACAGGATGTAGGACAGGATTCAAATCTGTTTTTGGTAGGTTTGCTGTGAATTGCCCTTGATTTGACACCACCTAACAATTGTTGATATGTAGGAACTTAACTGATTTTTATGTGTTGACCTTTGTCCTCTGCAGCTCTGCTGAATTAGTTTACTAGATCTAATAGCTATCTTGTGGCTTCTTTAGGGTTTTCTATGTAAGGAGCATGTCATCTCTGAAAAAAGAGTACTTCATTTCTTAAATCGGGCTTCAGACACCTTTTTTCCTTCCCAGCCTGATTGCTCTGGCTTCCTTGTGCTTCAATAGAATTTTTTTCCTAGAGGACTTTGTTGCTCATGTAGTAGGTACTTATTTGTATCTAAATAGATAATGAACTTGAGAAGGATCCTAGTGGTGAACATTTATGGTGTGCAGTTGCTGTAGAGACCATGTTTAAGAGAATTTATAGTAATTGGGGAAGAGAAGTTCAAGCTGGTACTTCATTTCAGAAACACTTGAAAAGGGCTCTGTGACAAACAGAATTACTGATTGTGTTTCAGATTTTGGTGAGATTTTTTCTTCTTCTTTGTTCTCTAAAATACTAGTTGAATCTGATTGAAGAATATGAAAAAACTTGTTTACTACTTTGATATTGTGCTTTAAGATAGGCAACCCAGGTAGCTTTAAAAGTATATTTTTTACTTGGCTGAATAATATTTACTATTTTCTGGGTTTTACAAGCTTGTTGATACATCTCTAAATGCCATATCATCATAGTTGTTGATTTGCATTAATAATCCATTAAGTCTAGTAAAGCCTAAGAAGCAATTCTAAAAACTTTAAAATTTGGAGATCCAAGTTATTTCCTCAAGTAATTAGGTACATAACAGGTGGGTTTTCCAGAGCTCTTGTTTCTACTGATGATTGTCAGGAAGCCACATTGCAGGTGAGTCATTTTTCATCTCTTAGAAAAATTGGACTGTGGTGATTTTGGTTTAGCTTCTGATTTCATTGGTATCCATGGTTGAATCATTGTATATGTACCCTCTTTGGACTTTATATAGGAGTTGGAGATGCAGTTGAAACAGAGATATTTGACATTTTTTGTTTGTCAAATCTAAATTGTGGAATGGCATGCAAAAAAGCCCCTATATTTGTGTTTTCTTTGCTAATGTCTTTTAGTTCCATTTAGAATTGTTCTTTTAAAGTTCAGTGTATTTTTAGTGTGTTCTAGCCTTTTTTAACATGGCAGCTAATACTTTTTAACATTCTTAATTCTATAGCTTCAAGCACAAATGCCAGCTTAATATCCACTTCATCTACAATTGCCAATATTCCAGCAGCCGCAGTTGCTAGCATTTCAAACCAGGTACAGTGCTACTTTTGTTAACCATATTTGGTGTGAGTTATCTATTCTGCTCTTACTCTCTCCGTTCCATGGTTATTTTGCCCTTTGAAGAAACCTTTTCCTGGATTCCGTTGGAACTCCCTTTAAAACTGGGTAGTAGTCATCCAGACCTTTCTGTGCTGTGGTTTTATCTCCTTATTAATCTGCTGTTTTTGTGTTCACTGTCTGTCCTATTGCCACTAAAATGTACATTCAATGAGGGTTGAGATGCCCTGTTTTGTTCCCTTGTATGTCCCCAGAGCCTAGAAAGATATCTGGCACTCGTATTAAAATTAAAGACACACGTTAAATATTTATGAAGTGGGCAAATTCTTGGAGCTCTGATGGCCTAGTGATAAGAAGCTGTGCAGTAATCCCAAAGGCACACAGTTCAAATCTGCCAGATGTGCCATGAGAGAACGATGGGCAGTTTGTCCCCCTGTCCTCACTGCCTGCCCCCAGTATGACTGACTGCCTCTGAAAAATCCACTGGAGAATCAGCTCTGAGTTGGTTCTGACTCCTTAGCACACAACACAATTACTTGATGAAATCTCGGTGGTCTGGGCTTGATTGCAATTCTAACTCTGCTTTAAAGATCACTGGTAACATCTGTAGTATTTTAGGATTTTGGGGTTTGAGTTTGTTTTTTTCCTTTTTCTTTCATAGAAACTAATATTGCTAGTCATCTTTAACATTGTTATTCTGTTACTTTTTCACTGTGTAACTGTTGAATTTGTTTATTCTTTTAGTTCACAAATGTTTGTTTATTACCTATAGTATACCTGAAACTGTTTTAGGTACTCTATATCTTTCACTTCTATAGCTTTTCTTTTTATTGATTATCTTGATATTGATTATTTCTACTTAATTTTTCAATTTAAGTAATTCATTTGTCCTTAGGTATGTTTATCCACACTTCTAATGTCCACTTCCACTTACCCTATTCTGACTTAAAAGTGACCCTCTGTGCCAGAGTGGAACTGCCCCATAAGGTTTATGAAGTTGTAGATCTTTACAGCAACAGCCTGCCTCATCTTTGTCCCACAGAGAGGCTGATAGGTTCAAATCATCTGCTTTTGGTAGCAGCCCAATGCTTAACCCACTATACCACCAGAGCCCCTAATGTCTACCTGTCCACTTGTTGGTAGTTGATTCTGACTCATGGCAATCCACCATCAAGTTTCTGAGTCTATAACTTTCTTTTTTTTACGGTCAACTTTTTATTGAAAAATAGTATCAATTGAAGGCAGTCAGTTAATTTTTGCAAGCATAATACTGAATAAAAAAAGAAAAGACATCTTGGAGACCAGATGCAAAGGTTCAGGGTTAAAGACAAGATCTAAGGAAAACAGCAGATTCAAAAAACATTTACAAAAGCAAAAATTTTTTTTTTAAATCTTTTTATTTTATTTTTGTGTGAGTGTACCGTCAAATCAGATCTGACTGGTACAGGAGGAGATTGTCCCTCCTTTTCCCGGCAGAGCATCTGGTGGATTCGAACCGTGTGCCTCTGGGATTGTAGTTGCAGCTCCTTGCCACTTGGCCACCAGAGCCCCCCTAAAGCAAAATTTGATCCTAATCAAAAAGCATCTTTTCTTCAGAAGGAAACTGGTGAATGTTTCTGTTTTACAGAATTGCTGTGGAATCAGGAAAACCATGGGCTTCCCCGCTCCCAAATTAGTTTTTTTTAAATTTGTTGTTGTTGAATTTTATTGAGTTGGAACCAACCCATAGCTCACACTCCAATGGGTTTTCAGAAATTGTTAATCACACAGGAGGAGATTACCCATCCTTCTTCTGCAGAGCAGATGGTGGATTCAAAATATGTGCTTTTAATGGGAGAGAACTACTTTATTTTTCTCATACAGAACATCTAATGAATTTGAACTACCATATTTTGTTAGTAACCCAGCAGGTAACCAACTATAACAATACTTCCAAAAAAGGAGATTCTAGTCCTAACCTTATTAAACTACAAAATACCAACTCATTAGGGTAGGTGTTTTCCTCAGTGCATGTTATTTCCCTAAATTCATTATATGTAAAACCAGCCTTTCACTCCACCCTTTTCCTGTCTTCTTGCCCCCTAAGAGTAAAACCCCTTTTCTTCATCACTTTACGGTTCCATATTTGTCAGTGACACTATTTTTCTTAATAAATTTGGTCTTTAAACATGATCAGTCTTTTTCTTACTTTTTTTTGTTTGTTTTATGGGTT